AGGGGAGGGGAGGGAAGGGAAGGGAAGGGAAGGGAAGGGAAGGGAAGGGAAGGGAAGGGAAGGGAAGGGAAGGAAGGAAGGAAGGAAGGAAGGAAGGAAAGGAAGGAAGGAAGGAAGGAAGAAAAAAATATGGATAGACAGATGGACAGCATCTATGACTATTCTCTGGCCTCTGTCTGTACATACCTACTTGTGCATGAGTATCTACCACACATGAACATAAACATATATATATATATATATAATATATACAAATTAATTGAATGAAAAAATATTTACATAGCAACACATAATTCCTATATAGATTTAACTGAGAAAAGAATTTTTCTCAGCTCTCATGTAATTTTCCCAACTATCCATTTGTGTATATTAAATGAGATTAGTTTTAAATTGTGTATTTTCTCTCTAGATATTTGCTTAGAAACTAGTTTTGCCTCAAACCTAATATTGCAGCTCTGCCCACCTAGACCTCGTTTTTACACCACGGCGGCCAGATTCTGAATGAGCGCCTTCCCCTCCCTCCAAATCATCAGCCCTTCTCAAACCTCTCACGTTGCTTCTTGGACTTAACTCTTTGGCACAGATGTCACCTCGAAACAGCCCTGACTCTGCTGGTGACTCTGCTGTCCCCAAGCTTGGGGACCCCTCCTCCACAGCAGATGGTCAGTGTATGTGACTGGCCTCATCACCGGCCTGGCAGAAAGCCAAGAGACCAGCTCCTTGGGCTTTGTGTCCTTGTAGACCAGTCATGAAGATGTCCAACTTTGGGAGGGTCTGGTCCTGCTGCACACTATAAAAAATTCCCTCTAGGAACTGGCAGACAAATGAACCCTGGAGAAACACCACCGTGGCCAGTTCTCATGTGGTCCCCCACCAACTACCCCTGAGGAAAATGAGCCCTCTGACCTGCTGTATTTCTACAGAAGAACAACTTGTCACTTGAGGGGTCCTTTGTCACCCTCAAGGATCTAATTGTGCATAAGTAAGTATACTTGACTGTCCTGTGTCCCTCTTCACAGTGGGTTCTTAATGGGTGGGCCCCCTTCTCTCTTCCAGTGAGCCCCAGAAGGAGAACACCTGCCGGTCCCTGGCTGTGTGTCTCTCCAGCCTGAACAGTCTCCTGCTGTTCTGCTGCCCTTGGTATTTCCAAATGACACCCTAGGAAAAGCCCATTCTGAACTCTGCCTTGACTGCCAGCCAGCTCCTCCAGTCCTGAACCAAGCATCCCAGAGAGCCTGTACTCACTCAGGGTTTGCTGTAGATGTCCCCAGCAATTCTGCCCCTGCCTGTGATTAACACTGTGGATGTTGCTGGCAAATGTTCTTCAAAACTAGCCAACAAGAGGCTGAATTACAGTGTAATTCTCCCTGCGCCCTGACATGTCTAAACTATATATTAATGAGGTGTGTCCAATTGAAAATTCAAAACCAAATATATTCATTAGCAATCTAAAAATAGACGCTTCCCTGTGAGATTTTAAAGCCTGTAGGCTCTTCTTCCCATGTCGATGGTCTTGGTTTGCTATAATAAAAGCAAGAAAAAATAATCTTTTAAGGTTAATAGCTTTGAACAATTAGTATAAATAATCGCCCACTTTGATGTTTTCTGCAATATTAATTTCAGAACTGAGCATATTATTTTGCTGAGCCAGAGTGCTAAGCTGACTGGAAGTTAATTTTTATTCTCATTCTCTCCAAGGAAGTGAATCTGTAACACTGATTGTGCCATTTACCACTTTAGAACCGTGATCATACAACCATCCTCCCTCTAACGGCACTGGCTTCTAAAGGTCATGTCTACAGGAGTCTAAGCGTCCCACCAGGCCTTACCATCCTGCAAAGAAATATCCCCACTTTTTGCAAGACTATGTAGAAATCAGAGTGTTGAATCAGCAATACCTGCACAGCCATGATCATCACAGCAGTGTCCACAAGAGCCAAGACACAGAGTCAGCCAAGGTGTCCCTCAACAGATAGGTGATGTCTTACAATTCCTGTTGCTGTGACAAAACATCATGACCAAAAGCAATTTAGAAAGGAAATGGTGTATTTCAGCTTCTAACTCACAGTTTACACTCTTTCACTAAGGGAAAGAACCTGGAGGCAGGAATGTAACTAGAGTTTTCCTGCCTGGCCCACAGTCAGGACAAATCTCTGTCCCCCGCCAATCCCACAGCCGCTCAGACCCAACCAAGTAAACACAGAGACTTATATTGCTTACAAACTGTATGGCCGTGGCAGGTTTCTTGCTAACTGTTCTTATAGCTTAAATCAATCCATTTCCATAAATCTATACCTTGCCACGTAGCTCGTGGCTTACCAGCATCTTCACATGCTGCTTGTCCTGGCGGTGGCTGGCAGTGACTCCTTCTGCCTTCCTGTTCTTTCTTATCTCTTCTCTGTTAGTCCCGCCTATACTTCCTGCCTAGCCACTGGCCAATCAGTGTTTTATTTATTGACCAATCAGAGTAATTTGACATACAGACCATCCCACAACACAGGAACTAAAGCAGAATCCATGGAGGAACACTGCTTACTGGCTTGTTCTCCATATGGCTTACTCAGCCTAGTTCCCTATACAACTCAGGACTATCTGCCTGGTGATACTGTGAGCTGGACCCACCCACATGAATCATTGATCAAGAAAATTACCTTCAGATTTGCTCTGATGGTTTGAGTGAGAATAATGCTCTCCCCCCCCCCCAAGGTTCATATATTTGAATGCTTGGTCCCCAGTTGGAGGAACTATTTGGGAAGAATTCGGAAGTGTGTCCTTGTTGGAAGAGGTGTGTCACTGGGTTACAGGCTTTGAGGTTTCAAAAGCCCACACCATTACCAGTTAGCTCTCTTTGCATTCTGGTTCTTGTTTCAAGTATGAGCTCTCAGCTACTGCTCTAGCACTATGCCTTCCTGCTAGCTGCCCTGCTTCCTGCCAGGATGGTCATAGATTTATCCTCTGAAACTTTTAGCCCCCAATAAACTGTTTTCCTCTATCATTTGCCTTGGGCATGGTGTCTCTTTACAACAGTAGCAAAGTACTTAAGACACTTGCCTACAGATCAGTCTGATAGAGGCATTTTCTCAATTGAGGGTCCTCTCCTCAAATAACTCTAGTTTGTATCAAGTTGACAAAAAACTAACTAGCACAGATAGACAAAGAAAATGCAGAAATAGATAGGTAGACAAATAGGTAGGTAGGTAGGTAGATAGATAGATAGATGATGGATGGATGGACAGATGGATGGATGGACAGATTAGATAGATAGATAGATAGATAGATAGATAGATAGATAGATAGATAGATAGATAGATAGATAGATAGATAGATAGATATTTAGGACAGCATGCACAAAACTGGGGGACATTATTTTCAGTGAAATAAACCAGGCAGAGAGAGACAAATAACTCATGTTCTTACTCATATGTGATAAAGATCTCATAGAAGCTAAACACAGAAGAGTGGTCACTGAAGACTGGGACAGGGTGATATAGAGAGGCTAAATAGTGATACCAAATATGGTAAGGTCAAAAGAACTTGTCCTAGAGCTCTAGAGTACTGAAGGGTGACTATCATTTATAGAAATCTATTATGTTATTGTATTTATATTTATATTACATATTTCAGAATAATTAGAAGAGCCGCAAGTTTCCTGCACATAGGCATGTTCAGCATTTGAGGAAATGAAAATGCCAACTACTAGCTGGAGAGATGACTCAGCAGTTTAGAGTATTTGCTGCCCCAGACATGAGAAACTGAGTTCAGAACCCAGCACCCACCTACAAAAAGCATCTGTGACCCCGGTGCTATGGGAGACAGAGATGGAGAATTGCTGGTGCTTGCTGGCTGCTAGCCTACCTCCAGGTTCTCTGAGAGACCCTGTCTTAAGGCAAAGAGTGATAGAAAGGGGTACCTGACAGCCCCCTCTGGTCTTCTCGCACATACAGGCACATGCACCTGCATGTGCGCACACACACACACACACACACACACACACACACACACACACACACACACACATTTATACACACATTTAAAAAAAAAAACATACCGGAGTTGGGGATTTAGCTCAGTGGTAGGTAGAGCACTTGCCTAGCAAGCACAAGGCCCTGGGTTAGGTCCTCAGCTCCAGAAAAAACATACCTATCTGATTTGATCAGATGTGTACCCTATATGTATCAATTGAGCCTACTGCACTTCCTAAACAAGTACAAAGAGGACCAGTGTGCGCCAGTTTTAATACAGTTTTGAGCTGTGTGCATTGCTCAGTAGTAGAGCTTTGTGAGGCCCTGAGTGCAACCCTAGGTACCACAAAGACAAAGAATTCAAATTACGAAACTGTACAAGTGACACTCCAGAGGGGCTGGCTGGGCACATGAGTTGAATAGAATGACATTTCAGATGCTGTAGGCCAGGGTCACCCTGAGTATTTGAGCCACAAGGCTAAGCACAGTGCTGGCCTGTGGGTAGTGTCCACTGCTGAGCTTGTTGGACTAGGCACAGGCGCATCCCAAGGGCATGTTCTCATTCATTTACTCCCTCTGCTTAAAGCAGAATGGGGCGGGGGGATGAATTCACATATGCAGTTTCCTCTAGAGTCCAGATGAAGCAAGCAGGTTTTAATCAGGAAGCCACTTTGGAAAAAGTCTCCCCCAAACCTGCCAGGTGTGTGGTATCCTTGACCAACCTGAGAGGATGAAGATGAGGAGCCATTGCTTCATGGTGTATGATACGGGCGCGTAGATAACCTTCTTGTGTGTGGAGAAGCCTAGAGCAAGAAAGCATCCACTTTCCTACTTCAAAACCCCTGTCACTGACAGGGAGACTTGGAGAAATTGTGATGTACCGGGCAGCTATTTGGGCGGCGATGGAGGGCTTTAAAGACCGCCCACCCACTCTCAGAAAGCCAGCCACCAGAAAGTTAACTCCGCTATGCCTTGCCCTGTAAATGAATCTGAGGCGTCACGGTACTTCAATTACTACTGACGTCACAGTCATTTGGCTTCATCCTGACAGCCAATGGATTACAAAAAGCAATTTCCATAAGTGAGACAGGACAAATGAATGCGGGCAAACCTCTACCATCCTTCTTATTTGAGGAGATACAAACACGGTGTTCAATATTGTTAAATATAATATCTCTACGTTCTGATAGACTGAAAACAAGTTCCTACTTAATAATCCAAGCACTGCAACCTAATCATTATTAAAAAGTCACTCTAATTTATTCTGTGTCTGCCTTCTAGACCACCCATATAGTATCTTTAATTTCTATAGGTAATGTAAATGATAAAAAACAAAATCCTAACAGGCCATTTATTTTTATTTCAGTACAACCATTTTTCCTTAACTGGATTTGAATTCTAACCCTAACCCTAAGAACACTGGAATCACATAAGGCCCAAGTCATACTAAAAAGAACAGAGCAGAAGAACATTTCTTTATTAAGAAGTGTTATTTAGAAAACACTTTTACACTAAAGATTATAGTCTTAAGAAATCAAACTTGAAAAATTATTTAAATTAATTTTATTATTGAACTCAGAAAAATTATAACTGCAAATAATTTGCCTTTTTGCTTTCAAAACTGGATATTAAACCCAAGACCTTGCACATGCTAGACCAATGCTCTACCTCTGAGCTGGATCCCCAGCCCTAACTGAATTGAATCTTTGAAGAAGTTGTTCAGTTTTCTGCAAATGTCCACAGAAATAGTCAAGTTCCCCTGTTGTTTCTCTTCAGAAGATGAAGGAATTCTGTAAACTTCAGAAGAAATAAAAATCCAAAGAAGAATTTTTCAAGATCTATAGTTTACCCGGAGAATACAAAGACACATAGAAAAAAAAATCTATTACTAAAATATATCACATTAAGAGAGGAAAGTTGGGAGCCCCACCAGGGACCCTAAGTTCTTTGTGGTGGTTTATTATAATAAATAAATGAGAAGAAGCTAGATTACTCAAACACTTGTAGCAAAGGGTTAGTTATTTTATAAACTGACATTGGTGCTGTAGTTTAATTGTGCACCAACATCAAATTCGCATATGTTCAAGACTGAAATGTCGAAGAAAAATACAGAAAGAGTCCAAAGGGAGAAAGAGAAAAGGAAAAGAAAACTGGAGAGGAGGAAGAAAAGTCACAGATTTAGTTCAACTTGATACAGTTTCTAAGCATAAACGCAGCTGAGGGGAAACGACTTCAAATGGACAAATAGATCTGACCACTCAGAATTGCCGTGTGTTTCCAGCATATTTTAAGGGAAAAAAGAAACTGTCAACCGCTAAACTGAGAAAAATATTTTCCACAAGTCTGACAAACAAATATGACAGATCTCTTATAAATTATTAATCTAGCACCCCACTTTAAAATTTTTAAAAGAACTGAATAGTAATCCATAGAGCAAAAACTCAGGTCTCCAGAAACTATAGTCATTTGTAATGAATGGCTATGTAAAGCTTTTCAAATTCTGTGCCCATCATACTATTAAGTTGGTTTAAAGAAATCAATTTTCAAATAAAGTAATCACTTCGAACACTGGCAAGTGTGCATGCCATGAAACACACATTTTCATGTACCACTGAAAATGATATAGTAGATAAAACATTATCAATAGGAACCTGGAAATAACCCATTAGAAGCTCTTAATTCTAGAAACTATACCTTCACATATTCACTTCACAAAAGTAATACAAAATATAGACCAAGATTAACAATGTACAAGAATGTTAATTATACATGATTTATAGTGGCAAAAATAAGAGTCGCTCTCAGAGGAGAAAGGCTACATTTCTCAAGACTTATATTAATGGTGCCATGGAAAAGAAATGATGAGGCTGAACAGGGAATGTATCATGCTTCATAGCACAGAATGGTAGGCTCAGAATCCATCACACCATGTCTGTCACAACATTTATACAAAGACCAAGTAGACAGACACACAGACTGGAACAAAACACACCGAAGGTAAATCTGCAGCCATTCCTGAGTAGCTGGGTCATGAGTGACTTCAATTTTTTTCTCTCAATAGATTTCTGTATTTTCAAAATTTTCCTCAAGTAAGTATTCAGCAACTGTCCTTTATCTGTGCTTTTGTTTTCTCTTATTTTAGTGGTCTGTAGTCAAAAATAGTCCGGAATATTTAATGGGAATATCCAGGAAGAAGCAACTTATAAGTTTTAAAGCACAGGACATTCTAAGTAGCATGATAAAATCTTGCACTGTCCCATGTGTGGTAGGAGTCCTTTCTCTGTCCACCGTGTCCACACTGTATACGCCACCTGCCCATTATTTATTTAGCATCCATCTGAGTTATCAGACATTCTACCCTTTGCATTCAAGAGTCCTGAAAGTTCAGAAAGTCCATAGGAAAGCCAGACCATGCTTTTCTTTAAGGAAAGGGGGAAAGTTATAGACTCGGGGAATGAAAATAATCATACCCTAAGGTACATACAGTGAAAACAAATATTCCATTAGTAAAACTGTGGAGAAGGAAAAGAAACCCGTGCTAATTTTGCTGTCATATCTCAAAATGCTAAACTTACAACCACGGGGCACTAGAAGTGCTTAGTCAAAAAAGAAAAAAACATTCAACTGCAGGATGAGGAGGCGGGACTATCTGAAGTGTCAGGCAGCCCCCGTGAGTCTTAGAACACAGTCAAATTTAACCACCAGTTGACAATCAGCAATTCTCCAAGATTCTGGTTGGAATAACATTGCTCTCTTAAAAACTGTAGGCATACACACACCCCCAAAAGAGCTTTTGTGTGTGTAGACTATCTATTAATAGGTGTATTGATATTTACCACCTTAATTGGGGTTTCTATTGCTGTGAAGAGACACTATGACTTTGGCAACTCTTACAAAGGAAAACATTTAATTGGGGTGACTTACAGTTTCAGAGGTTTAGTCCATTATTATCATAGTGGGATATGGCAGCATGCAGGCAGACACGGTGCTGGAGAAGGAGCTGAGAGTTCTGCATCTTGATCTTCAGGCAACAGGAAGCGAACTGGGTCACTGGGCATAGTCTGAGCATAGGAGATCTCAAAGCCTACTCCCACAGTGACACACTTCCTCCAACAAAGCCATACCTATTCCAACAAAGCCACACTTTCTAATATTGCCACTCCCTATGAGGGCCATTTTCTTTCAAACCACCCCTTTTACCATGTTTGAAATATTTAAAACTTGGCTGGTGAGCTAGCTTAGTGGACAAAGGTGCCTGCTACCAAGCCTGACGATGACCATCTTGGGACCCATGGAGTAGAAAAGATTTATACAAATTTTCCTCTGACCTCCACCAGAGTGTCATGGCATAGTGTCCCCTACACACATACTCAAAACCAAACAAAATAAACAGATAAATATATTAAGATGTAATTTTAAAAGACATTAGATCTTTTAAAAAATATTTTAAAACTCAGCCATGTTTATTTCATTGAAAAGTAGCTGTGATGAAAAACACACATAAAAAGAAAAACTATGATGACCCCATTACATGTTACCATTAAAATATATTTTTGTGAAGTAATCCCATTTTTTTTTTCAAAACAAAAAAAAAATCATAATTTGAAAAGCAGTATTTTCCCTTTTTGCAAATCCTTTAACATCCGATTTATCAGAATGGCCACATCGACTTCTGCTCTTAGTTCATAGATGTGTTACATCCTGTACAGACACCAGGAAACCCCCGTAGATTCATGAAAGACCATGGAGGAGAGAGCAGAGCCCCTCCTTAGCATTGTTGTGATAATGGTTAGACTTCATGATCTTGGCCAATTCAGGACTTCAGAGTCCCAGACCCACTGAGATCAAGAGCCTGCATTACTCATCAGTGCTTACGATACAATAAACTCATCGTGACTCAAGTCCCCAAGGGCCCAGCACAGCTGTGCACGGAGCGGGAAGACCAGGGATCATACTTCCCCACAAGTCCTTATCCTGGGCTAAGCCATCTCCCATCTTGAAAGCAACCACTAACTGAACCTCAACCAGAACTTTGACTCAGAATATAGTTCTGACTGAGCTCTGTTACCCTCAGACAGACACATAAAAGACAGGGGCAAGAGACTGGACATGACCAGCCGAGCTAGTTGGCTTCCAGGAACTGACTCTTCTATAGATAATTGGAGGATATCCATTTAAAGAACTTGAGTCAGTTGTAACATTCTTTCATGCATTCATTCAACTAGCATTTACTGAATAACCACCAATAGGGACTCATTGTGCTAGAGAAAAGGGAGAAAAAATCTCTTCCTCATATCTCAATTCCTACAAGTAACTTAGTACCTCCCATACAGAAGGTGCTTGATAAAGGATGAATGGATGGATGGATGGATGGATGGATGGGTGGATGGGTGGTTGGATGAATGGAAAACTGATCCAGAAGTTGCCCTCCCATATCTCAGTCTGATGAAATAAGTGTTCCATATAAACAAAGGCTCTCTGTGACTGGTAAGCCAGTGCTTGATGTGAGATAGGCAAGCAGGTATGTGACAAAAAGTGATTTTTTTTTCCAGCAATTACCCCTACATATCATCACCTAGAAGACAAAGAGAGCCAGAGAGGGAGTGAGGTTGAAGGTCCTTTGTTGGGGTGGGGGAGGGGAGTTCACTGGTGCAAGGCCTACAGGTGGACACTGGGTCCTGGCACCAAGTATAGGCACACAGAGCACAGTGATAACAAGGGCCTAGTTCTTAACACTGAGTCTGACTTCTTGGCTTTGTGATACAACTAAGGTGGGTTTCTAGAACTATGTATGTTGGACTAGAGAGTAACTAGTGGGAACTCTAACTTGATCTGCTGCTAAGTCATCTGTATGCCTGGGGTAGTTTGAATGTAATTGGCCCCCATAATCTCACAGGGAGTGGCACTCTTGGGAGGTGTGGCTTTATTGGA